TTTTTTACAGCTGCTTTTAATTTGAATGTAGGTGTCCTGGATGTTATTGATAACATAGTGAGGGAAAACTAAATGTCACAGTCAGGCTCTGGCAGGTGAAAACTCCTCTCTTCACTTTTAAATTAATCCCGACTTAAGGATTGTGTGCTCAAAAATACTACAACCACTGCCTTAAAGTCAGTCTTCTGAAGTGTAAATAAATATCTGGTGTTGTGCTGAGCACGGTTTGCATTGCCTTGCTTAGCAAATGCCAGGCAAGTTAATTAAATTGTTGTGTGGTAAGTTGAGGGGAAAAAATGCATAATGTGCAAAGCCTTTTTAGTGCTCCTTTGCTAGGAAAAGCAGTGGAGAAAAATGCAAAGCTGAGTAGAGGAAACTGGGGTTTGGGGTTGGTTTTTTTCGCTGTAAAATAAACACAGAACAGTCTATCTGCTAACATGCAGTGTCGGAGAAAGGAACATACCAACAACGGCACATGAGCTGGATTGTAAACAGCCAAGGAAAAAAGAATAAACATCTCCAAAAATGTCAAAGATACTCATTACTGCATGCAGAGGGTGATTTTTGCTCAAGGCATCCTACAAGCAAAAAAGGTGCAGAAAACAGATGGATGGGTACACAGCCCATCTACAGGGGCTGCTCAGAATTCCCCCCCGGCTGCTTCTCCACTTCACAAAAGCAAGCACCACTCCAAGTGCTGGTGTTGACCCAGACTCAGCCCCAGCCAACATCGTCCCACCTCACAAGGAGCTGCCTTGGCAGCACCCAACAATGGTTGAAACCTAACTGCTTCCGATGCCGGTCATCGGCATTGCTACATCTCTCCATTCATATTTTCTCCATGCATGATGCACATGACCTCCACAATCTACTAAAGGGACAGAGAGAGAGAAGTTGGTGCACAGCCTTCACACAAATCATTATTAGACCAACCCGTCCTGCTCACAAAAGAGTTGCTTCCCATAGACCATCCTGTGCAGCTGGAGAGATACAGACCTCCAGGGAAACCAAAGGTGTGGCCACATCTCCCCAGTTGCACAGAAGGGTTTAGAAAATCCAACTGGCAAGACGAGACTCAGGACTAATGATCTACCAAGATTTTTTTGCTACTTACGGTTTCTCCTCTCTGTCCGGGGTGACCAGGCAATCCATCCTTCCCAGGAGGACCCTACAGCAGAAAACCAGGGTGAGAAAGAACATGACCAAGTGTTCAGTAGTAAAACTGATAAGGACTGAATCAAACCTGCTTGCATCCTCACATCCATTTTACAGCAAAATTGGGGTGCTCAGAACCCTGAAACATACATCTCCCACAGAGAAGATTTATCTTACAGGTCCAGAGCAGGAGCAAGCTCTCCACTGCAGGGAAGGAAATCACTCCAAAAAGGTTTCTGAGATCCCCCACCAGTGTATAGTAATTGCAGAGACATAAGTGTTACTCTGTTGTGCTGTCCTCCCAGTATACAGAGGGAAAATAAAGAACAGAGCAACCATAAAAGATCCTAGCGATACAGAGTCTTTAGGAAATGAGCATTTATAATCAGTTGCAATTTACTTGGCTATTTAAAATCTTAATCTGTCAAGTTATTATCATGATGTCTCAGTGATGCCTTTTATTGGGTACATCACCGCTTGTCAGAGAAGCGGCTAAGACTGAGCTGGCACAGGCAATCACAGCTGGATGGGAAAGACTATGTATTTCTTTGCATGTTCTAGAAAGAGAGTTACTTACAGGGGGGCCTTTTGGTCCAGGAAATCCAGTTGGTCCTTGAGGCCCTGGTGGTCCCTGGGACACAAAACAAGACAGAAAATATGGTTAAGGAACTTATAGTGCTTTGCTACGAAGTACTAGCTTTGTGTGAACAGCAGATGAGCACAAAGATATGGAAAGCCAGCTGCTTCTATGCCAAAGTAATGCCCTGAAGTGCGAGATGCAGCTACATGAAGCCATCCCTTGAAAAAAATGCATGGAGAGATAAGAACCACTGGGCATGTTGAAACAAGTTACCATCCCGTTGCAGAAAGCACTGCAAATATGAAGGAGAGTATCAACCACTTTGTGCTTTTCACTCCCAGTACTATGAAAAATAGGTCTTTTCCCATCCCACCTCCAGTGAGGACACCTGGGAGCTACCAGCTCCTGCAGGAATGAAAAAGAAGAGCACCCGGTGGCTTTGGGACCAGTGCTGCAAGGTGGCTGATGCTCTTCAAAGTGCTGCTTCCCTGGAGTAGTGTCAGCAGCAGCTTCCCCCTCGCCCTTGCTGTCACAACAGCAGATGCAAAGCAGGGACCAATTTAATGTATTACCGTGGGTGACTTTTCCCTTTTCCCATGGAGAGATGCTCACACAAGACACGGAAGGTCCATTTGAGCCTTCCTTGGATTGCTCAGAAAGGACCTAAGAGCTGAAGGTGACTTGTGAGACCTTTCTCCACACAAGCATGTTTCACCTCGTATGTCTAAAAATGTTATTTGTTTGCCGTTTTTTTTCCCCCCTAAAAAACCAGATTTTTCCTTTTTGCTGACCAAGGTATGCTAAGCTGCATCCTGGCTCCAGCAGGCTGCCCACCCCTCTCTGCTTCATAGGTTACTTGATAGGATGCTCACTGTAAAAAACCCTCAGCACCATCTCAGCCCTGCAAACCCGTCTCATCTGCCATGTTACACTAATGGGCTTGTACTGAGTCCTGCCTGAGCCCCACCAGCTTCTCTTACCCTTTCGCCAGGAGGACCGGGGGGGCCATCACCACCAGAGTTGCCCTTTTATGAATAAACAAAACACACCATTAAAAATACATATATCACACCATTGCAGCTGCTATGCACAAAGAATTCAAATGGCACCAGGCCCATGGTGACACCACACTCCGCCAGCCCCTCTCTATTAATAATTCTGTGTCAGGGGCAGCATCCAGTGACAAACGAGCAGCTGCTCGTTCCCCCCACATTGCTTGAAAATACAGGAAAGATAACGCCAGCAAGCTCAGGATATTTCCACCAGATAGCGGCCTCCCTCTGAGAGATAAATGCCGCTGCAAAGATGAGGTATTTATCAAAAATTCATGCCGACACAAAGCCGAGATATTTATTTTTAAAGCCAGCAGCGTGGTGGTGACAACATCTCACTACAAAAGCTTTGCTTCCATCATGCCCAGCAATTGATGGTCACTTAATCAGTCTCTGCAGCAGGTTCTGGAGCCAAGGGTGCCTCCAGGTTAGCTGGCAGAAAAATCTCTATTTTGCTTAGTGCTCAATGGTGGGTTTGGCAAAGTGCAAGGTTCTGGAGACCACCACTGGTGGTCACTGTTGGTAATATGTACCAGTTCACACATGGCACAGTATAAAGCTTCTGAAGTGGTTCAAATGCTACTTAAACACCAAAAAATAGGGGAAGCATCAGTGGATTGTGGGGTTGTGCTGGTCCATGACATGGGGGTACTTCCTCCTTTTCTGGTTGCAACAGCTCTTAATTCGTGCATGCACTTGATGTGGGCCAACACGTTTCATGATCTAAACATATATTTGATGGGTGGGTTATGAAACATTTAGCTGGGCAATGAAGAGCAGGAAGGCCCAGCTTTCACAATACAATAGAGAAATGAGAGAAAGGAAACAAAGGGCAATGAACCAGATGGTTTCTTATGCTGACAGTTTTTAGGACACAATTCAATTCATAATTATCATCATAGATTCCCCAAAACCTTACCTTTGGGCCAGGTTTCCCGGTGCTTCCCCTAGGGCCTCTTTCCCCACGTGGACCCTTAAAAAGATACAAAAGATGACATTTTAGCCCTTCTGCTACCCACAGTACTACATTGTGATCAAGCAAAGAACCCAAGTGCCTGAGCTGCACTGGGTCAAGGAGCCGTCCCACCAGCAGGAAGGTAATGACAGGAGCCTTGGTCACTTCCACTGGAGGTTAGATCTTGTTATGATGTTAAAGCATGTTCCCTGGTGAGCCCCAGCCCCAAATCACCATGTCCCTCAGCTTTGCTTTCACTGCTGACAGCCAGATCCCACCCAGTGAAGATATAAATCAGATCATACTTTCTCCTGGTCTTAACAAGCTTTCAAAATGCAGCAGAATGAAGAAGTGAATCATTACCGTTGGACCACGCTGCCCCCTTGGACCTGGTTTGCCAGGTGTCCCCTGGAAGGAAAAAGAAACAAAGAGGAGTTAGCGGTCAGCATCACAGTCTGAACCCGCAACGGAGCCTATTGCACACAAGCTGCCCCCAAAACCTCTTCGCTTCTCATTTGCAATGAAAAGGACAACCGACAATGAAAAGTTTAATTTCACCTCCTGATTCTTATATTTATCTTATTTTAGACTGCTTGGGCAGGTCTTCACAGTAATCCCAATGACATCTACCATCTGAGGGAAAGAATCTCTTAAGAAAAAATATCTTGAGTCCTTTAAAACATCACAATGAGTTTCAAAGATGAGGCCACCCACTCAGACCACAGAATCTCCTAAAGAGCCAGCCAACACACCAGAGCCACCAAAAAAGCTCTTCAACTCTGCCACCCCAAAACCTATAACCCCCTTTCCCACTGATCTCTGACATAGGGAAGGGCTGGTCCTTGCCCCAGCTGGGAGTAGGGCAGGTTGGCCCACACAAATGCACATATGTGTTGCAAGACCTCAACTGTTAAATATTTAAGGAATGACAGGATCAGAGCAGAGTTCCTGCTCTGAGCAGTTATTTTGATGCCACACGAGTCAATTAAGCTGCCGCACATATTTACAAATCTTTCTTCATCTCTGTGAACTTTGTGTGAAACGAGTAATTTAAGACATAGTTTTGCAGCGACGACAAAGCAGCGGGCTTATGAGATCTGACAGATGCACTCAGCTTCCTGTAATGGGGAACTGTGATTAATTCTGACAGAAAAAAGACAGAGGCAGCTGGGTCCTAAATCGGGCACTACGTTAAGCTCCATTACCCTGTGCCTGAAAGAAAACTGATGGCCTAGAGCTTGCTCCCCAAAACCACTATTTTGGCTAGTGTCAAGGTACCAAAAAAATATCCACAGGTTTGGTTTTCTCTCTTCAGACCTGTAGTCCACTATTTTTACCCATCACTTATTAAAGGAAGGAAGAGAAAGACTTGCTTTCTAGGTAAGGAAGACAGAATGCTTAAAATACCACTTGCCATTTTCTGCCTCAAATCCATCATTCTCACAATCTTGTCTTTTCGTATTTGGCATTCATTAACCAAGTGAACATAAAACAGGAGCTGGAAAACTTTACCATCAACTTTCTTCAAGCTACTAAAATTAGTCC